AATTTATAAATATCAATAACTGAAGTGATTATTTACAATATTTATTTTATTTTAGCTAAAGTAATAAAAATAATAATTATTTATTCTTATATTTTAATCTAATCAGATTAGTTTAAAAGAAGTTTAAATTTCAGAATTATAAGCAAAAAAAAAGTATTATGAATCTTTATAATATATAAAGCATATAACTATAAATAAAATATAAAGTTATAATAAAGCATATTTATATATTAAAAATGTTTAAACTTCATTTAATAATTAAACTATCTAAAATTTATTAGTTGACTAGGTCAAGTTATGACAAATAAACAATCTTTAAGATAAGTAAATGTTTTCAAAATGTTTTTTTTTTGATAAAATTTTCAATTTTTTTTTATTTAATAAAAAATTTTGTTAAATATTAAATTAAATTTTAATATTATTTTAACTAAAAAATTAATATGAAACTTTTGTTAATAAAAATTCTTATTAATAATCTGTAATTTTCAATATTTGATATTCCGGCCAGAATTAAAATTATTAATACATCATTTAATTACTCCTCAAATAGATCATTCCCGATTAATTAAATAGTTATCTTATCTTATCTATATCCGGTATAATTGCTTAATGATCACCTTAAAATGGAAAAAAAAACATTTCCCAGAAAAAAAAAATTTTAAAAATGTCTAAACAATTTCTTTCAAACTTAAGTCAAAATTATATCGAGTTATTGAGTGATGATGAATATTACGATGTTACTTTGGAAGTTGGTGAAGATCCTAATGTTAAAATATTCCGTGCTCACATGAATATTTTGTGCTACCGTTCTCCATATTTTCGACGAGCTTTGTCTTTAAGTAAAAGTAGTAATGAAAATATCATGGCACATTTGAAATTGCCAAATATTTCACCAAAGATCTTTCCGACTATTTTAAAGTAAGAATTATCTTATTCTATACAAATGACATACAATAAATATTAATTTGATATATAATTTTTTAAATTTAAATTCTCTCTTTTTCGTATTTTAGATATATTTATGCCGGCGTTCTTTCATTTAATGAGATAGACTTTTACGAAATTGTTAAGGTCTTGGTAGCTGCTAATAATTTATGTCTTCAAGAATTAGTTGATTATTTGCAAACATATTTAATTAAAAATGAATCCGAATGGAAGGAGCATCATTTAGTTATCATTTACCAAGCAAGCTTACAATCTAATAATTTTCTAGATCTTCAGAAATTTTGTACTGATTTAATTGCTAAATCACCTGGAAATGTATTTAAGTCTATTGACTTGTCTTTTCTATCTGAAAAGTCTTTAATATCAATAATTAAAAGGGACGATTTACAAATGAAAGAAATTGATGTTTGGGATAATGTATTAAGATGGGGACTTTCACAAAACCCATCACTTACTTCGGATCTTACAACTTGGACTGATGATGCTTTCCAAAAAATGGAAAACACCTTGCAACATTGTTTACCGTTAATCAGATTTTTTAATTTACCTTCTAAAGACTTTTTCCGAAGAGTTCGTCCATATAAAAAGCTTTTAAAACAACAACTTTATGAAAATTTATTAGCATATCACTTGGATCCAGATTTTGAAATAGATTATAATATTTTACCTCCTAGAGTTGGAAATTTGGATTCAACAAATATTGATTCAAAAATCATTACTATGAACATGGCTTCCTTAATTTCAGCCAGGATAGATAAAGTGGATTTTAATAGTATTATAGGTTTATATTTACCATATAAATTTCAATTACTTTTAAGAGGAAGTCGGGACGGATTTACTCCTAAAACATTTCACGACATATGCGATGATAAACCTATTACTGTCACCTTCATTAAAATAAAAGGATCAGAAGAAATTATTGGTGGATACAATCCTTTAATATGGACATCTGCTTCGGAATGGGGTAAAACTAAAGATAGTTTTATATTTTCTTTTAAAAATAAGTATAACTTTATCAAAGATGCGATTCTAACTAATGTTGCGGATGCTGATTGTGCAATAAATAATCACGAGATGTACGGACCATGTTTTGGAAGCGATCTTAAGATATTTTCATCGGATGAAACAACAGATTATGAGAAAATTTATTGTCAGAAATATTATTACGTAAATAGGATAAGGGATACGGATGAATACTTTTTGATAGATGTTATGAAGTATTCCAAATGATTAGGGGGTAAACCATTTATTTTATTATTTTTTAACCTTTAAATGAAAAGCAAAGTATATTTAACGCAGACAGACGTTATTTATATTCCGTAGATATTTACAATGAAAAACCATTAATACTTTATTTCATAATAAAAGGAAACACAATATTTTTATTCAACAATTATGGATGTGCAGTATAATTTTTTCATTATGATTATGTCACAAAACATCTATGATTAAACTTCTATCATATGGAAGTTTAATAATTGCTTATTGTTTATTGATAATTTAATTTTGTGATTTATTGATGTATTTATTATTTGAATTCCTTCTTAATAATTTTTTTTTTTAAATAAGTAAAATAATATTTGTTATGTTAATTAATTTCTATTTCGTGTTCAATTTAAGTTTATGAAACCCTAATGTAAGTATCTCGTGTGCATGTGAATACTAATGCTACCATTCTCCGTGTTAAAAATAATATCTGGAAATTTTCTGAAGTTATTACATACAATATGTCGTTTATATGATAGAGGTCTTCATTGTACGATATTTCAGCACATCATAATTATTATTAAGTAGATTTAGATTTCTAAAACGTTTTTATTAAAATCATATTCCGATCGTATGTTTCAAACATAGATAAACAACTAAATATTTAAATGAACAACATTTTGAAATCGATAACGAACGGATTTAGAATAAATTTAAATCTCTGAAAATATTATTTTAATCTCTTTACTTCCAGAAATTCTTAACGTTATTTAAAAAGTAATGTTTTGCAAACAATAAGTTTTTATATGTTACATTTAAAAAGTGAAATTAACCAATAAAGGTAAATTTTAATTATATTGAGCTTGTTTGGGAACCATATTTTTTTTAAGGTTGCGGGCAAAACCCTAATCTCATCCTGGAAAATGCCGAAATCCCCCGAATATAATTTTGACAGTTTCGTCGGGTTGACAATTTCTTTGGATTTCTGATGATTTCAACAATTGACTTGAAGTTCGTTTCGTACCTAGACAGATTCCGATAAAATTATAAAGAAAAATTTCAAGAACTTTTCCAAGTTTCCAAAAGTTATTAAAATGTACCCGAAATGAATTTTTGTCAATCGTAGAAAACTTTGCTACTGTCGAAATTTTATAATGATTTTAAAAAATAGAAATATTTAAATTTACAATTCATTGATTTGAATTTTTTACTTTTTGCAATTAACTGTGAATAAAACTTTTTTTGATTTGAATTTAGACGGTTAAGAAATTAACACGCAAAATTGATATTATCACACGAAGACACGAAGAAGTTGAGATGCAGGAAATCATTTGAAGAAAATATAGGAAAGTACATGTCATGTATCTCGTCATAGACGAAAAATTGTTAATCCCAAAATCATCTTAGAAAATATTAAATAATCTTTTATTTCTTAATTGTTAATAAATACGTTACAAGAAACAAATCATTAATCTCCTAATATCCTGAATTTATGTCTGTTTATATTGTTAATTATATATAATGGATACCATGATATCTAATATGCAGAGTATTGCGACCAAAGATGTTGGAAATCGTTTATTAGTAGGAGCGAAGCGAAGGACTATATATTTCTATGCGCCATGTCCAGATGTCCGCCGCTCATAAATTGAGTCGATTGAGTTGTGATATCAAGTTCTGACTAAAATTAATATCTTATTACATTTTAATCTAAAATATTCTCAGAACTTGATTATCTTAGATCACAACCCAATTGGTTCCTTTGTTACATTTGTGCTCCGGGCATAAAAACAACTGTATTCGAAACCGTTCCATAGTATCTAACAAATTTTGTAATATAACAGCGTATATTCGCCACAATTTGTAATTACAATGGTTCTAAAATGGGATTTTGGTATATATGTAGACATTTTCTGCTTAATCAGATCCTATTCTGAACATCATACTCCTCTGAAATTGTGGGAAAGTTGGGGACAGAAGTCTTTGAAAAAATGTAAATTATCTAACATTATAAATATTGATAGAATATAATTCTTTAATAGTGATAAAATTTTTGTAACTTGTAATAAGCTTCAGTTGACATTTGCTTTAAATTCGCTCGAATTTCAGGACATTAAGTCCTATGAATTCATAAGATTATCCACTGTGAATAAATATTAGATGTGGTTGAACGGTAATGAATTTTCTTAAATGAATACTGTATTACGCGATCATAGCGCAATATAAATAAGCGGACACCGTTTTCGTTAGGCTTGCTAATCGAGAACCCAACATCAATATTCGATCCTTTAATGAAATTGAAATTGTAAACAATAAATAATTTACTTATTACTATGATAATATCAATCCTATTTTACAATTAAAACTTGATATAATATAATTACCCTTTCTGGTTTATTATAAAAGTTTTTAAAAATTTTTTATCAAAATTTATTGATATGTGTTAAATGATCATTTAAAGTTAATCGAGTTTTGATGGTATAAAGATAATAAGATATTTTAACTACTATATTTCATATAAGGTCTCAAGACTTTACTTGACTTTATATATCAAGGCAGGAAAATTACAAATATAAAATTCTTTATATTTGTATTTTGAAAAGACGCAGAATAGCGCAGTTAATAGCAATTTATTATTTATTTGAGAATATCAAGTTTATTATTTGTTAACAATATGATAAAAATAAAACAAAATATCATTATAATTAAACTTTCTTATCATGATTATTTCTTGAGAATGAAAGATTTAATATCCATTTTGTTTATGTATTCTTATATATAAAATTCATAAAAAAAAAAATATCAAAATTAGATTTTAATAATATTAAAATACATATTGAAATAATTACCTATAGAAATCTTGCAATTTCTAAAGTATTCTCACTGAAAATTTCATTTAATTTTGCAGAATAATCAATCCTTCTACTTGTATAACAAGATAATGGATGGTTATTAATTATAGGCGCATTTTCTAATTGAATTATCTTTAGATATAAATTAATTAATTAAAATAAATTGCTAAATTTTAAAATTTATCTTACCTGGTGTAGGAATTCTTTCTGTATATATACTAAAAAATTCATTCTGCAACTTAACAAAGTATCCCACTAATTCTTTAGCAGTTGGTCTATTATTAGCATTGGAATTCCAACATCTTTCCATTAATTTTGCATATTTAGACATAGTACCTTTGACACCTTTGACAATCTTTGGTCTTAGCCATTTGCAAATATCTAAGGAAAGATTAAAATCATGAGGTATACTATTAAAACAGGAATGTTAGAAGTCATTTCTCACATTATAATACCAAAAGAATATATTACTGTAGCTTTTGTAAATGGTTTTTCACACAAAACTTCAGGCACTATATAAGGAAGTACTCATAAATTTTATTCAATTTGTTGGATTTACTAGCTAGTTTGTAAACTTTTTAAAAGTAAATTACCACTAAAAAAATCACCATGTATTAAATTACAATCATATAAAGCTGAAAACTTTCTTAGGAAAATTCTTATCTTGAAATTAAGGAAAGCAAATCAGAGGTGACTTTTTGATAAAAATTTATTTTTTTTTTCTTATTTTTTTTTAGGAAATTTCTTATCTTAGAATTAAGTTAAGCAAAACGAAGATGATTTTTAGATGAAAAGTCACCATATTTCTTTCTATTTCTTATTTTTTTATTAGGAAATTTTTTATTATGAAATTAAGATAAGCGAAATGGAGATGAATTTTTGGGGTAAAAATTTATTATTTTTCTTTCTTTTTTCTTATTTTTTTTTAGGAATACACTATGATAAGTCAATCAAAGATAGAATTTTTAACTAATTTCTTTATTTTACTTTATTTTTTTATATATACTTTAAGAGTTACTTTTAAGTAATTTGAATTTAACAATTATATAAATATAAAAATATAAATTTAATAAATTGAAATAATTTAAATTTGTTATATTAGTTTTGATTTAGTTTATAGTTAATTTTAGATGATTAAATTAGATTGATTTTTAACAAATTGTATCTAATTTGTATTCAATTTATGATTAGTTTTTGGTTGAATTATAGTTAAATTGTAGTTAATTTTAAGTGGTTAATTTTTGGTTGAATTGTATCTGAATTGTTGTTAAATTTAGATTGATTTTAAGCTTGATTTTTTAGGTTGAATTGTGTCTGAATTATTTGAATTATTCCTATTAACGCTGAATTATATCAATAGGAGTTATACCAAATTTATTACAATTTAGCTATAATTTAGATATAATTCAGAGATCTATTTGTTGGTCAAATTGTATTATTTCGATTAGTATATTCCATATATTAAATATATTGCTTAATTATATATGTATTTTGTATTATCATTGGTTTTTTGAAAGACTCATAATTTTTTAACTTGTTACTTTGAGCTTTCAATGATAATGAGTTTTATTCGAATAATACATCTTTTCAATCAAATAATGTAGATTTTATATCTTTACATGAAATGGATAACGTTCACCAAATTTGCTTATAGCTATGTAATAATCCTGATGTCTTATTACTAGCTTACAATATGTATATGTCATTGAAAGCATCAGTTATAAACGAATTTAACTTTATTTTGCCAAATTGTAATTCATCAATATCAGTAACTTCTGCATCACATGTATAAGTAGACAAGGTATGATTTAATGATAATTTTATTTTTGCTATTTATTTTATTACTAACTGTCAAATAAATTATAAACAGATTAAAGCTAGTTACGATTTTCTTGAAAAACTGAAGTGTTTGTTTCTCCAATTTCAGACTCTGAAAAGAATGCTTTCAAAGAATTGGTCTAACAAATTTTTAGGTATGATTTAAATTCAGCTGAAGGCGTTGACTGGTTACGAGCAGCTAATAAAAACTTTGGACTTTTTGCAATAAATTTCTTGACATTATTAAGAAAAAGGTTCATTGATTCAAAGAAAAAAGGCTGAATAAGCTATTCTTTCATTTTAATTCTATCAATTTTATTATTCTAGTCATTTTTATATAATTTATTTTGTTTATAGTTAAGAAATTATGTATACAACTCGTCCTTCACAAAGAGAAATTGTCTCATTTGTAAATAAAGCAGCGCCTTGCATAGATGGCTAAATGCAACAAATATATTCAAATTACAGGCTCAAAACATGATATTGCATTTACGTAGATTGGTCATAAATGTAATAATTGTTAATTATGTAGAGAAAGATGTAGAAAGAACTAAATTTCTGAATAATATGACAAGAAATATAGCAGTTCTATCCCAAAACGGCAGAAATTTTGCCAGCAATTTACAGTTGTGAAATAGGTATTCTATTTATTACTTATATCAATAAATAATTTATAACTTTATTTAATAATAAATTTTATTATATTAGACGTAAAATTATTATACAAAATTATATACTAGTAAATTCCTTATATTTGATTTTTTTTGAAAGGTAAAAGCAACTGAAAACAAGTAGTGAAAGGATTAATTGTTTAGCTGATATTAAAAAATCTTCATATATTATTATCGCTCGAAAAAAATTATATAATTATTGCTTATATAACCGGACAACTCAACTTTCATAATTAAAAGTTGAAGATATCAGTCAAAAAAATTTTTTATTTATTACTCTGTTTCTTATTAAATATAATCGATTATTATTGAACACAACGAATTAATATACTTATATAGTAACGTTTATAAATATCCTGCAAAAAAATTATTTTTTCAAAAATAGAAACACCTAGCTTCTTGGTAAGGTAATATCTCAATTTAATGAACCCTTGTTCAGATTCAAATTCTAAGATGTGTGATTATGGTATTTCATATTGTTTTATTACAATAGTTTATTACAAATTTTTAATAATAAACGTTTTATCATGATAAACAATAGTTTTTATTAAGTCATTTTTTCTACAACAATAGTTTCTATTATATTTTATTACAATGACTTTATAACTTTTTAATATTTTTTTATTAATATTAGAATAGCATTTTTTTATAATTTATATTAATAATAATGAAATATATTACATAATCAAAATTTTACTATAAATGAAAAACAAAAAAAACTTAAGGCACAGCAGGAGTAGAAAGAATTCAATAGATTTATTATCAAATAGTAGTCAATAATATTTGTTATATCAAAAAAATATCTTGATAAATTATTTTGAATTAAGTATCAATAATATTCACTACCTATCCAATATTATGTTATGACTTCAAAAAGGTTTTTTATCGATAAATTCTCAATCATGTTACAAAGTCATTTAGAGTCATGTTATTACGTATTGAATACTAAATTATCATGATTTAATAGCAATTACTTAATCGCATAGTAACAAATCACGAGTTTCTGCAAAGTATCTATACATTATAAAATTTTATTCTTTCAAAATTTTAGTCATAAAAGTTAAAATTAAATAAACATTGATATCAAAAACTGTATCTTCAGAAAGGATAATGAAAATTGTGACATTTCTTACATCTATATTATTGGGAGTTGTCTTTCCTAACTTGCAAATTTAGATTTTTCAAGTTTTGGCTAGTTTTAGTCGTATGCCATGATTATTGGATTCCTTTCGGCGGTTACTAAGAGTTTTTCATGTAACATCACATAGTAATCGATATGAATGAAAGCTTGCAAAAGAACGAATAAAAAAATATAATCCAGCAAGTCGTCTCATTCAAGGTAATAATGTTTGGAATTTGGCAACTATTGACAATATCGATTTTAAAGAGAAGACTTTTAAATTTGGAAATATTTATGATGTTACACGTGATAATTCACACGCAACTCTAAGAATGGCATTTCAGGCACAATTACCAATTGAAATAGAAACTGGCCCAGAAGAAGTAGTTGAATTAACAGCTGAAACACCATTATTTGGGATGAATTCAGTTATTAATGAAATGTTAACTATATTTCAGCAAGTAATTTATAAATTGTAGATTTCAAAACAATTAATGAAGAGTTAGTTTACAAGACAAATTTTGATGCAGAAATTATCAAATATGCTATACTTACTAAATTAGATCGTGAATGTCTTGGACTCTCTCCTAACATTGTAATCTTAGAACTGGACGCCAATCCAAATTCAGATGGAGAAATGATACGTGTAGCTGAAATGTATAAGAAAGATTTTGAATTAAAAAGTCATTCTTTTTTTAGATATTGTAGCAGATGAAGCTATCTTTCGCCGATTAATTAAATGTCAAGCAAAATGGTCAAATATAAGGCCTCTCCTTGGATAATGGCACACATCGAAGGATTTTTGTTCTGTTCTATTAGTTTATTCTCTAGTTATGGTTTACTTAGTTTAGCATCACGTTTAGGTGTTCGTTTCTTAGACAAATTTGAATCTGTAATCAACTATCATTCAACTACACGAGTACTTGACCTTTTATGGGTTGCAGTAGGAATAGCCATTAACATTTATATTACCAAAAAAAAATACCTTTTCATGAAATAATGGATAGTGAAAATAACTCAAATATTTGTCTTAAGGTGTGTTTATTATTGAACTATATTTTAATGAAGTATTTAATTTAGTTTCTTATTTTGAGAATATATAATTATTATTTACCAAATAAGATAAATTACAATAGCAAATAAAAAATTCTATTAAAAAATATTAGGCGTTGTATCTATATTACAAGTGAGCTGGAATATGAAAGGTACATAAAATGGGAATGCGCATAGAAAATTTTGATTTGCAACGATATTCATTGTCTGTAGCAGGACTCCTATATGCAAGTGCAGCCAAATCTAATTACACAACAGCTATAGCTCATTATCTTAGTATCATTGCTGCTTACCCTAAATTAGAAGAAAGTTTGCGTTATTGTGATGCTTTTAAAATTTCCCATGATATTGATGAAAATCCCAACAATAAACGCCATACTTGCTTTGGATTTGACGAAGCTTTAGAAACCTTTGGTGTAAGGTTTATTAAGCAGAATGTTAGTGGAAATATATTTGATGAAAAGGCTCTCAGGGATCAAATAAAAGCTTCTCAAGATGAAAGAGAAAGAATTGATTTATTAATAAGCGAATACCTTGATGATTATTCAGTCTCACACAGTGAACGCGCTATCAAGTCACGCAAAGAGTCTTTGTGGGAGCTCATAAATGATCTTGTAACTGTATTTGAAATGACAAATCCATTGTCTCACAAACTGTTTCACGAATATACACCTACGGAAATGCATCAGGAAGGACTTAATCAGCTGATTGCTTGTTATCCAGATGGACTAGAATGAATAAAAGTGGTATACTGACAAGAAGTTTTAGAGATAGAACATAGAAATCCACAGGGTAGAAGGGCAGTAGGAGTTGTTAGAACTAGACCAAAAGATTATAATAACAAAAAAAGATTAAGAAGTAAAGTTACCAAACCAGCGGCTGAAAATCCAAATGAAACACCACCTATCACCGAACCACTATCTAAACGAAGGAAAACAACAGGTACTAGACACAGAACTACTGAGAATGAAACAGCAATTCTCTGTGCATTGAAAGAATATAAAAATAGTCTTCCGGATGATACCATAGTCTCTGTTCGTGAAAAATTGTCAGAAGTCTGGACTATAAAAAAGGTGAGAGAATGGTGGAATTATCATAAGGATAAATGAATTGTAAAATTAAAATTTTATAATTGGAGAATAAAGATAAACAACTTATACACGTTATTTTTTTTATTTTGCTACATTTTTGTTATTTCTACAAAGATAAAAATGGTTCAGTAAAACGATAAAATAAAATTAGCTATTTTTCACAAAAGTGACTAATCTAACCATCTTTTAAAGACTAAGTAAGTTAATTGCACTTGAAAACTACGTATAATTATGTGTTTAAAATAGATTTTGAGAATCATATAAACTTGCATCTTAGGGTTGAAGTCAAAAAAATAGGGTAAAGTTGGTCTAATATAAAGTTTTTGTACAAGAGTTATATTTTAAAGAAAAATATTGGAATGTGTAGATAGAAACCTCAAGAACAAAAGTTCCTTAAGATTCTTTGATGAATTACTTCGAACAAAATCTCATTGCATTAGTCTGTTCATTTCGGATTTTTGATGTTACACAAATTTTTAATTAGTGATTGGCAGGTGATCTGACATGACCACCGACTGTTATATATAAAATGACTCTTTTTATAATAAATTTTCTCTATAACGAATTTTTTTTTTGATACAACAAAGTTTTGTTTAAAATGAATTTTACTAGATTTATGTATATAAAATTATGTAGTTTTAAATGAAATTAAAAAATTAATAAATATTCGCATTACGCATTATCTTGTGTTTCATATTTTGTTTTACATATTTTATTTTTTTACGTATTTTTTTTCCTTTGTATAATGCCAATAATGCTTTTAAGTTCTGAAAATTATTATGAATTTCACTAAGAGAAGATCGATTATTCTTTTTTACAAGTCTTTTTAGTGTACAACGATCATTATCATTCATGGAAAGTGGTCTTCCAGCTCTTTTGACACTTGAACCATTATTGGTATCAAAATGTCGGACAATTGTATCTGTGACAGTGCTTTTTGGAACTTTTAAAATACGAGCCCAAAAGTAAACTCAAAGAAACAACTTAATCAAATACTAACAAACAAGATGAACCTTTAAAAAAAAAAAAAGTCTCTTACAGCTGCACAAAAAAAGAACTTTGTTTAAAAAAAATATCATCACCTTTTTTAAAACAAAAAGACTTGGCTAATGAATATGACGTTAATGAAGGCATGGTAAGTGACATTTTAAAGGAGAAAAAACGTTGCCTTTCTGTGGATACCAATTCATACCAAGCCAATTTGAAACGTGATAAGAAAATTCCATTCCCTCTTGTTAAAGAAGCGTTAGTAATATGAGTAGATAATGCATTCAAAGCTAGTCTCATTATTACTGACAATATTCTTTCAATAAAAGCCTTGAGTTTTGCTTTTTTATTAAAGGAGAATAAGTTTAAAGGTCTAGTGGTTTGGTGGACAACTTTAAAAAATGACATAACCTTAAACAGTATATTATACACGGAAAAGCCACAAGTGCGCCGCTCAAAGATCTCAAAACAATGAGAGAGAATCTTCAGCAAATATTAAAAGAATATAGTCCTGAAGATATATTCAATTGTGACAAAACAGGACTGTTTTGGAAGATGAAACTATATTGAATGATATCCAACGAACAAACATCAGAAAAGAAACAATCAAAGAATCGTATAATGATCCTACTCATATGCAGACGCCTTTGTTCATGCACAAGTATGAAAATCCTAGGGTTATTAAGAATATTGATAAAAGAACGCTTCCAGTTGAATACTATTGGAACCAAAAAAATTGGATGCAGGTTTTAATTTGAAATGATTACATAAAAAAACTCGATACAAAAATGAGAAGACAAAATCAGAAAATTATCCTTTTTGTGGATAATGCTCCGATACACACTCTTTATAAAACTACCCGCCTGACTAACATCACTATTCAATCCCTCCCCCCTAAATACCACAGCACATTTCCAACCTTGTGATCAAGGTATCATAAATAGTTTTAAGGTGAGAAATGTAATTGATT